TAATTGGTTAAATAAATAAGATTACATCAACTCCTTGCTGTAGTGTAAGATGATTTACACCTATTAAGGACCAGGAACTGTCAAAGTTTTTCAAATGTATTACACACAAAGGAGGGCACTTTTATGCCTTCTGTTCAGGCAGATTTCTTAATATTATCTGTAAAGTAGCATAACAACCCTAGAATTTTAGTGGAACTAGGTTTATACATGTGCTACAAATCACTAGCATCTCACCCCTGGTCACCCAGAGAATGAGCTGGCACAGTGTTTGATTTTCATGGCCAGAAATTTTAAAATAAATAAGTTATCTCATTGTCACAGCTGGAGAAGGAGAGGAGATTAGCCACAGCCTCTCATAGCGCTGAACATGGTGAACAGCTGGCTCCAGGGTTCATCCACTTCATTCTCATGCAAGTTCATAGCAGACTGAATAGCTGCAAAATGAGGGCCTGAAAAAAAACATGGGCCTTTTTTCTAGGTGTTGTACCCCTGTACCTTTCTCTCAAGGCACATGTGCCAAAATGAAGGACTGAGAGGTTCCAACCATTAGCTGGCAAAGGTCTGGCTGATGAGCCACAGCTCACAATGAGTGCCCAAAGCTATGCAGGGCAACAGCAATTCTCGTCCTCCGTCCTTGCTTTTTCTCAGAATGAGCCTTGGTGTGCTTTTTTCGCCCGAAAACGTGTGTATTTGCACGTCTTTTCAAATACCTCTGCTTTTTCTGAGCATTAGTTTTGGAAGGGTTTAAGATTTTTACATTTTAGAAACTAAGGGACAGTTTTCCCCAGGCAAACCCTTAGCACAGGAAGTTTTTTGGTTTAGCAACAAAAGGCCCTTTGCCTCAAGGTCAGTAAAAGTGTAAGTACCCTTTCTACCACTTCACTGTCCCAGGCACCTGCAAAACAGGTGATTGTAACACTGACAGTCCTAAATAAACTAATGGGTTTTAACCCTGATCAGCACCGACTCTAGTTATTGCCCCAAACGAAGAGCTATGTTGCTGTGCACCATCACCCTGTTCCACTCCACGGGAAAAGGAATTTCATAGCGGGAAGTCCAAACAAACACATGTTTACTTCTTGGGCCAAAGTACCCTGAGATAACATTTAAAACTGCACCAACTACTTAGCTCTGCTGCAGTCAAGATATTCCCTGCAAAAATACTCCAGACATTAGAATCATTGAGCAAGTGTGTGCCTTCTGGGCTCTAACAGTTCAGAAATACATTCTGTCATTCCCCCTGCACAACTACTCCAGCATCTCCTTGTCAAGCTGAGACTGTGTCCTGGGGGTGGCACCAGGCACATCCCTCACATCGATAGGCACAGCTCCCATGTGGAACAGACCAGACTTGAAGGGGGGTGGGTAACTCCACACCAAATGGGTACCCAGGCACTGATCAACCAAGCGGAGTCTATAAGGGCACAATTGTAAGATCACTCCCAAAACATTGGTGAGAACATTGCACGCTAAAAGCGGTGCAGCAAAACACCAGATCCTTCTATTGCCAAGCCCTCTGTTAAACCAGGAGAATTTCAGGTTACCAAAACACAGGTGTCTGGTGTTATTTGAGATGTCCTCGGGCTTCAGCTGCCACCTGCTGAGGGAGTGCTCCCCGGTAGGTCCTATGTCATACTGCCAACCTCGTGCAAGTATCTCAGATACTATCTGACATCTAAAACACTGGCAGAGGTGACATTTGCAATCAGAGTTGCTTCCTTACTATGCTCCTCATAGATATTATTGTTCTATGTGTGTTCACTTTTTAAAAGCTTGGCAGATGATTGAAAAATGCCTTCAGTGCTTTTTTGTCTCAGAGTGATTCTGTACTGCAGCATTTCCAGGGAAAAATCAGCATTCAACAAGCCCCTCTTCCTGCTGACCCAGTGCTCTCTGCAGGCGCGGGCAGGACGACCCTTCCTGAACGCATCTCATCAGTGCCCTGCCTCGGCTGTTCTGTGGTTGCTCTACCCAATCCTACCATCGTTATGCAGCTGATTAAAGCTATGAAAAATATGAAGTATGCAGAAATGGAAGCAGAACAGCACAAAGCAAAGCATACAATTTGCTCATGCCCTGCCTCTTTTTTCCTGCCTATCTGCCATCAATATCCTACACACCTTCCCCTCTGCTTGTGAAGACAGGCACTCTCCTGCATGTTTCCATACATCTCAGAATCAGTAAGGCAAGCTAATGAATAGCAATGCAGCTGGCACTGTGCAAGAAGAGTACTATTCCCCTCCCTCTGCCCTCCAGGTATCTCTGCTTAGAGAAGGTGATACAAACGGTAGCTTTCCTCCTGGGCTAACCAGGCTTGCCAACAGGCAGTTGTGATGAGGGTAGTTTCTCTAGGATATGAAGATGTTTTGATCCCTTTGCTTTCCCTCCTGCCTCCTCTGCCTGCACAGCCACAGCCTGGACAGTGCAGGCACTGGCAGGCAGAAGGGGCAAAACCAGTTTGCTACAGGGCTGGAAACAGGTTCTGTTGGCCCCACAATTAACTATGGAGTTTCTGCCTTTTGTAGCAGCAGTCAGGCTCACACCTTCAATTCATCCCACAGGGCAGGAACAGGAAAATTCCGTACTTGTACTGCTCAGGGCAAACAAAAAGAAATACCAGCCCAGAAATGTCTATCGCCTGCCATACCTAAATGGCACAGCTAACTCCACTGAACAAGGAGAGACACCACTTTCAGCAGGGCTCTTCATGTCTCTGTAATTTAAGTCTTTTGTTATGGCTGCAGGACAGAATTAAACAAAAATATAGTTTAAACCCATAAAGACTTTCAATCTCCTTGGACATAAAATTAGAAAAAGGATCCAAAAATTCAGACCAAGAGTTTGCTGTTGTGAAGTCTTTTGGGAGTGTTGGTTCCCATTCCCCCAGGTGACCCAGAGGGTCATAGGATGCATCCCACCCTCTGCTTCCTACCCAGCACAATAACCCTTTAATACTGCATCCCCTGGCAGAACTTGGGAGATACAAATTGTCTGTGACCCTGAACTAAACATATGAATAGGACATACAACACCAGTGACAACTCTCTCCAACTCCACAAGGAGCCTAATGGATTTTTTTTGTCAAAACATGTCAGGTCATAGGTGAAGCTCTGAATGGAAAGTTGAACCTTTCCTTCATGTAAAGCCCAACCTTTCAAAAATAATAAAGTCATCGACAACCTTAGTTTTTGCACCAAAACCCAAAACTTACTCAGAGATTCCTCCTTTGTAACTTCTCTTTTGATCAGTGCAGCCACACTGCCAGCAGCATGAAGCAGAAGCCTACCTGCACATGCAATTATTTTGGTTTCCTCCAGATGCACAGGTACAGATTCTGATCACTTTCAAGTGGTGCCAAGGCAGTAATCTCTGATAGCACTGAAAGTCAGGACTGATAACAGGCAAGTTTAAGCATTACTCGTGTGATAATTACATAGTTGTCAAAAATATATAAGTTGGCAGCACACAGAAAACACAAAGTTTGGAATACTTTGGGAAAACAAAGATGATCTGTCACAGTCCATCAAGCTGTTGAGCTCTGTAGTTGTCTAGGGAGTTGCCTTACCAGGCACCAAAGAAGCACTTTTCAGAGAGCATCTATTCCAAAGCCTCCTGTCTCCACAAGTGACTGACATGATCTGTAATTGTGTATGTTAACTGGGAGGTTTTTCCCACTATCCACCATAGCACCAACAGAAACTCCTTCCTGCGTACACCAAAGTATATCCAGAAATTGTGATGAAGATGTCTGCTACAGTTTCATGGCTAACCTCATCTTGGGTGTTGATCCAGCAAGGCACTTGTCCTGGCCTTTAAGCTTGTAAGACTCAAAGAGATCCCTGAAAAGTTCTTTCACTGGATAAATTCACAGAGATGAAGAGGCAAGACTCCTTCCTTTCCTGATAGAGTCTGACCTCTCACATGGGTATGATAAACTACACACGCAAGTTGAGTATTCACCACTGAAAACACCCAATAGGTTTAACAGTTGACATGAGGCACTACTTGGAATTTTATCAATTATCTCTGTCTTAAAAACCACATCCTTATGCCTTTTGAATTGTTCTTTTCCCTGCTGACCAATGAAAGAGAGAAGAACCATCTCATGTTTAAAATGCAGTCATTCTGCTGGTGTGTACAGTGCCTAAGATCTCAGATGCATGAGATCATTAGTTGTTGGACTGGCCTGTTACCACCCAAAGGCCCACACTGACCATTGAAATGGATTTTCAGAGGAAGACTCTAGCTGATGGTTGGAAATTTTTCATGGCTGCAGAATTCAAACTGAGAGGAGTCACTGGAAAGGAGTAAACACTCACCATGAGGTTGCAGTTCCATAGGGATATCATGGGCACATAAATAATCACTAATGGTTTGTCACAATGGAATTTCTTGATATTTCATTGTCACATATGTATTTATTGTCGTATCAGGCCAGAATATAGATGCCTGAACTCTCCCATTTATAGACCAAGAAAAAAAAAATACTGCTACCCTTCTTCCTGTGTTATTAAAATTACATGTGTCTGACAGCACAAGACACAGAAATCACAATATCTAACAGTCACCTAATAAACCTGTTGAAACTTATTAGAGTAGAGCACACAGAGGGAAACTTTTGTCCTGATGTACTCCCATACCTGGTTAGCTGCCTGAACAGAACTCCCTTTTCCCTGCTCCTTGTAATTAATCAACACAAATATTTGTAGTGTTCACTTACAAATAAGTGCATATAAGTAAAAGAATGTACGTGATAATCTTATCTAAATGCTCCAGCCAAACCAGAGCATTTTTAAAGACATAACAGGAATTAAAATCTAAATTTTCCCCCTTGCTTTTCCCCGCATGTACAATTTTGCTATACGCTTACAAAGTTATGAGGAAGTGCAAAACTGTAATAGTGGCCCTACAATATCCAGAGCTGGATATTCTGAACATTTTAAAAATCTCCAAGCAAATACCACTGAGAAAATGGTAGAGAGAAGGAAGTCCATACTCACCTGAACATGATCTGTCCAATTCTCCTGAGTCATGGTTTTCTGAAAAGACAAAATTACTTCTGAGCCATCTTAGAAAAGGGAGAATGTTACATACAGCAAGCTGAAATTTAACACACCATCTTACACACTGGCATCGACTGTGATTGAGGAATGCATTCTGGAGCACACAGGAGACCTCTGCTTCTCATATGTCAGCAGCCAGGGCATGGCAGAAAAACACAGCTGATATGAAGTAATTCAGACAACCGTTACACTACGACACATACGACAAAAATATTAATACGTAATCAAAAGTACAAAGGCAGTGGCAGGCTCTTACCCAGCAGTAGCCCGAACTCTCATTATTACCTCGAGCTGTGTCCTGGGCTCATTTGCAGAGAACTAACTACCTTCACATGGCTTTGCAAAGTGCAGCAGCATTTCTGAATGCCTCAAAGCTCACATGGTGCTCTTGCTATGACAAAGACATCACTAAACAAAGCTGAAACAGGCCGTTGTCTGGTGGAATGCATGGATCATTGCTGTTGCCTTTACCTCAAATTTGCAATATGTCCAGAGACTGTTCACCTCAACAGCTAGCCTAGTGGAGAGCCATCCCCATCGGCTCCAGTAAAGGAAGTGATCTCAGGGATCATCTGCAAGGCTGAGCCTTCAGTATACAAAACCACACACTTTTCTCAACAGCCAAGTCATGAAAAATCCTCTGGAATCATGAGGTCTGAGAAACTGGTAAATTAATATCGCCATTCCAATGTAGTTCAGACCCAAATCTGGGGAGAATCTTGGGATGGGACCTACTCTCCACCCCACCAAGAACACAGGCTGCATGAGACTGATCAGCCACCGAGGCTAGAGCCTCACCCGCACTTCTAGCAGAGGTAACAGTGATTACTAGTGCCACTTTTATGGAAAGGTACAAGAGCAAACAGTGAGTAAGAGCCTCAGAGAAAACATCTTTGAGATATACAAGCATGTCTTTTAAATACTAGTGAAATAAAGGAGCCATTTAACCAGACCTACTACACATCTGAGAATGGTAAACAGAGACGACCAAAGAGCTCTCAGAAGAAGGGAATGTGTCCAGAAACAGCTGCCAAATGTACCTTAATGGAAGTAAATGGCCAGCTCAGATACTCCAAATACTCCAAAACAAAGGAAATGGAAGGCCAGAGAGAGCAGAACACCAGATCACGAATCCATTCCACTCTGCTAAAGAAATACACATGGATAAATGCTTCCTACTCTCTCACTGCAGATGACCAAGAATGATGTCATCCAACATTAAAGCTTTGAGATGCAGGATGCTGAATGCTCAATCCCCCCAGGTCTCCTGTCAGTGGATCTGGCAGGCAGCAAAGACAGGTCAGAGGCTTCACTGATGGATCGGGAGTTCTTGGAAGCTGAACTGGATGTGCCACAATGGCGTGATCAGATCCCCACCACTCAATCCCATCTTCATGTTCAAAGTACTGGGGGGTGGGCGATCAGAAAAAAATGCATGCTTCTGTCTTCTTCTGTCAGAATATCACACGAATCCTCTTTTGAACAAAAGAACAGACACTTCTGGTGGAGGTGTCTCATTTCCTGAAAACTGTCTCTCTGAAAACTGGATCAATAGTACCATAGGAACATCTGAACAACCTGTTGAGCTCTTTTAAAACTCTGTTTAAAATGCTTCTTGTATCTACAAGGAGAAAGTTTCTATGAACTGCAGATGAAATACCACTCCATGTTTGGCAAATACAGATTGATAGTTCAAAATTCAAGAAATGGCAAAATTTTGCTATGATATTCAGTGGCTTGTGGTCCTTGACCTTCACTGTCCAACTGATACACCTGGATACAACAAGTGCAAGCTGTTTTTTCTAGAAGAGGCAAAACAAAACCTTACTCTCAGCTGGTACAATCTAGAACTCTAGGCACAGTACAGTGATGAATCAAGACCATCAAAGAGAAGCAAAATTGTCCTGTTAACAATAAACGTACTCCTCAGTGCAGTGTGCTCAAGAGCATCCAAAAGGCAATGACGGCTCTCTGCACTCACGAGAGGGAAGAAAAGACCACAGTCAAGTAATTCTGCAGCCAACCTCCGAGCTGACTCCTAGAGACCTGCTCCTCAGAAAGAATTAATGGCATCTTCTTATTTCTACAAGCCCTCGGTGCCAGGGCAAGTAAAAGTAAAGTTAGTTCAAAGAGTGGTTCCAGAGCTCAAAGTAAGTCCATTTTGCTCAGCGTAACAAGGCTGTTAGCACAAAAAAATCTTCTGTGGCAGGTTTGGGCCATACCTATCACAGCCAGGCCACAAGTACCAAAGCAAAGTGCATATAAAGAACTCAGTAACGTGGAATGCTTAAAACTAGTTTTCTTTAAAAAAACACAACACGCAAAACCCCAAAAAATAAAACCACAAAAAAATTATTTAGTCACTCTGCTCCTGCTTATTTCGGATTTCTGCAAGAAAGTGAACGTATGCAGAGTGCACCCTGACCTACCTGCATGTGTCTCAGATCACTGATGAGGATGCTGAGGTGAACAAGCATCCAGCTCTGAGCAATCATGACATCCAGTCATTAGAGTATGAATGGACACATAAACTATTCAGTCACAGAAAAAAACAGGTCCAGTGGCAGATCCAATGCATTTCTATGCAATAATAATCACAATGAAAACTTGCTCATATATGATCAATACATTTCAACCACATAAATTGCATTATTCAAAAAGCAAAAGAAACAAAAAGCCTCATTCACACCCATGCCACACAATACAGAAACGTACCTCAACAAACCTCTTGTAAAAGAGGTAATTCAGAGTTCTCAAGTGCCGCTGATTTATGACATTAGGGCAGAGAGCTAAAAGAAGGAAAAAGACATTTAGTTGAACTTCCTTGAAGTTTTATTGTCTAGACATTACATTTTTCCTTCCCCAATTTCAAACTCTGTATGTGGAAGGCAGGATGCCATCACACTTGGAACAATGACAGACAGACACACACATTGTCATCTTATCTAAACTATAAACTTATTTACACTTTCAACCATAATTAGAAATCATAATCCTTGGCTACTGATATCTCTGGTTCTACCACCCTTGAATGATAAGATCCACTTGTTAGTTCAATATGTTCCACAGTCAATGACTTCACACCACCTCTATGTCTCTAGAGGCTGCATTCTTTCTGATTTAATTGGAACCTGTGCTGTTAATCCATTAAAGCAGTTTTGAACATGTTACTCAGGATGTAAACTTGTGGCTAAAGTTTATTGGATAAAATATATATCCCTGAAAGAGACTTCATATACATACAAAGAGGGAGGTGACTATTGTTTTGCTGAGCTAGCAAGCAACAGTTGTTGTTATTATTTTTATTACTGTCATCTTCATTAGATATGTCTCATTACAACTGCAAAAAACAAGACCTTCACATAGCAATGAGAGATAAATGCAGAAGATAAAATACATTAACTAGGATTAGCATATGTATCTGTCAGTTCTTGCTAGATGCTGATATGCACGTACAGGGAGAGAATTAACCAAAGCCTTCACTGGGGTTTCAGTGGCTAAAACCATCATGCACGTAGTTGGAAGGAGCAGAACCAGCAATCAGAAATGGTAACATAAAATAGTAAAGTGAAAATTCTCTGCAGCCTCCCTTGAATCAGCATACACTGGGAGGAACTAGTGTTACCAACTCAAAGGGCCTTGGAGCTTACAACTCTCCATGCCCCACACCACAGCATGGTGAGGATTCAACTCTGAGAGAATGAAGAAAGATCTCTGAATACCAGACCCTGGAATCAGGGGGATATGAACTGATGCACCATTGGTTACTGCAGCTTCTCAGAGTCTCTTGAAGCATCACTTCATAATTTGTACTTTTCCATCTCAAATAGAAATGTTTAAAGCTGATATTTCAATCTTCCACAGTATGACAACATATCCTTGCTGTCAAATCTGAGGAAATCACTGCAATTATCCCACAGGATATTATCCCAATAAATACAGTGATCTTTCCTCTGGATATTAACCCAATGTCTGTAGGAAAGAGCATCAGCTCATATGATGACACTTTAAAGAAGGTAAAACAAACATCAAAATTAATACTATTACCACCTGAATTAAAGATTTCAAAGCACTTCAGAAAGAAACACAACGTGACTGCTCTAGGCCACCAAAAAGATTCACTGAACATTTTCTTCTGTGAGCATCTGGAGGAAATATCCAATGCACAGTATTTGACAGAACTGAGGGATTCTAAGTGCGCAGCTATCTGTGCAGAAAGTAGGACAAAGGAACACAGATGGACTGAACATTTTTGAGGGCATTAGTGACATTTTATATTCTGATAGACCAAAGGAACTGAGTTTGAATCCAGTTTTCTATATTTTATTATAAAAACAGATTGAAACAAAAAATTAATTGAAAATGTGAGAATGAAAGGTAACTTGATAAGAGACAATAAAATGAAGAATTCAAAGCTCTTAAGAAAAGGAAGAACAGCAAAATAAAAACAACAAAATGGAGTTCAATAAACACAGAGAACTAGCAGGTAAGATTTCATGTGAAAATAATTTATAAGGGGAAAAGGACTTAAGAAGAGCTGGCAATGGAAAAATTAGAAGTGAAGTAAGACTAACTGCTAAATCAGAAGCTTTTATTGACATCAAACACCAGAAGGAAGTTAAAAGAATGTGGAAACTGGATTACACACATACAAAGGAACAGCACAAACACACAAAATCAGAAAGCCCAAAGTAAAATGTGAAATGCATGTACCAAAAGCCATAAAGGCAAAAGAAATTCCAGATAGCCTTTTGGCAAAAAAACCCACCAAAAAACCCAAAAACCCCACAAAAATCTAATGGCTGGGCTAGAGAAGAACTCGCATAGCTTGTAGAGGAGATGGTAAACCTTTCAGCTTGAAGGTCTTTACGAATAGGTTCCACATTCCATGTATATCAGAAATGACAGCAGGAGCTCCTTTGGCTTTGGGGCAGGAGGGTGACACAGGTGGTACTGCACAGTCTTTGCCAGATCTCTTCCCTGCAGTTTCATGACCATCTACACCTTATATTTGTAGAAATCAAAGTGCATCAGGGCAGACCAACTCAAGGTCAAACACTTAGCTGAGTGAACAGGAGTCTGAACTCCAATCTCCTGAGCCAAAATCAATGTTCTGTTGGATCAGAGTAAAAGACAACGTCCTCAGCCTTTCAGAACAGGCCCCATCCTTCTATTCGGTGTTTGTATAATGGGGTTTTGGGATGATGACTGAGCTGTGCAGCACGAGTGAATATTACAATACTATGAGAGCACCTCTTTGGGCATGTGTTAACTCTTAACCTGAAAAGAGTGCTTCATCTGAACTACATTTTGCATCTGGGACTGACTCAGAAGCAAAAAATCCAGTCTGCTCTCAGCCATTAGCAGAGAGTTAATGGCTATTAGCAACAGAGAGGAAGTAAAAATGAAATCTATTTGTCATCCAGGGTATGAAACCCGCAATACACACTTATTTCACTCATGTAGCATTGGTGAGACATGTCTGCGGAATATTTTTAGGTGTGGTGCGTGGCTACCACTCCCAGGTGATACGCAGTGCCTCCTGAGCTGGGATGTGGACCCAATCCTCTCTTTATACTGCCCTGAGAGCTTGACTTCCATTCACAATGAGCCTCCTTCACCCTGTCCTGGCAGAACAGAAGGTCCCAGACAAAGCATACTTTGTCTGGGGACAAAGTAAAGGAGCCTTTTTTTAATAAAATCAGGGTACCTGAAACGCTATAGGCTTTCACCCTGGTATTGCTACAGACTACTGGGGAATCTGATGAGAAGCGAGCTGTGCATTAGTCTCTCAGTATATCATGAGATTAGTCCCTAAGTGTGAATTAGTGGAGGGTAAGGCAGGATTCAAGAAAACCTTTTTTTGTTGTAGCCTCAAAGATTCAGTAGTGCCTCTCATAAAATGTTCTGTGCCTCTACAGATCAGGGTCAGCAGTCCTCAGCAAGGAAGGTGAAACAGCAGAAGCCCCAACTACCCCCAAATCCCTGAGCTACCTGCTAGTTTTGCTGTCTGGAAGAAGAACAGAGAGCACAAGGGTTTTGATCTGCACCTAATGAAAAAAAATGCTATACTGTGGTCTTTAGACATGTGTCCAGATATGATGAATTAATGCTCAGAACTTCAAGGGTGATATCAGTTTTTCCAATGAAAAGCTTGGAGCTGCTGGCCAGCTTGTCTGGGTCTAGATCAGATCATATTCTGCTGCCTGTACTTCAGTAGACAAAATGGTAGCTGGGAAGGTAAGGGCCAGGAAGGACCTTGGCACATTCAATCCCCTTCTCCTTCAGCACCTTGACTCTGCAGCCTCTGCAGCCCCAGGAGTGGATGGCTCCTATCATCTGATGTCTAAGCCTAGAGGTTCTTCTCAGTCAAAGTGCTATGTAGAGATGTGCTGGTATTTAACATGAGAGCTAAAAAACTGAAGGAAAATCACCATGGAAATAGGGGGAAACAATCCTTGTAAAGCAAATGTAAAGGAAATTAATAACCTTCTGCTCTGTTTTAATGCAGAAAGGGTAAAAACATTTAAAATTTCCTCCTTCCAACTCTACTCCTGTAAACAGTCATTCCGCTCTCTCTAACACTGCATCTTTTGCAAGTGCCTAGTGTAGAGTCCCACGAGTCCCTGCTGGAGCTCTCCCTGGTGACTGCCCTGTGATGTGCTCGCTGAGCTCGCAGACCTGATGAAGTCTGAGGACAGTTGTGACTTACCTGAGCAGAAGCACAGCCTGCTGAGCAGCCCTCGTCTGCCCTCTACTGCCCCATTACCAACGGAGTGATAACGCTTTATCTCACAAATCAGCTCTGGGACTTAATAAAAAAGATTCACACCAAATTGAAATTAAAGGTTAAACCAAAAATGTAAGATGGTGTCAAATGAAGAGAAACATTTCTCTTCGTTTATGCTAAAAAAAAAATATTTAAAGACTATGGTAAAAACATGTTCATAGTGTTCAAAACTTAAGCTAATTTATTACACTGCTACAGGATGGCAACTGTTAACTGCGCATTCAATTACCATCTCTTGTCTATCAACACCACTATTATCTGCTTTATTGTCACATAGGCACTAAGGCCCAATATATGAGGACAGTTGTACTTTTCAGAGTGTCTACCTCATACCCAATGAATTTTCAATGAAAAATGCCACTGAGCTCTCTGTGGCATACCGGCTGTGCAAAAACACTACAGAAAATAGACTCAAGCATTTAAAACCTAGGTAGGGTCTGTTCCTTCGTCTCTGACAACTGTTTTGACTGAAACCTCCATTTATAAATCTAAATCAATCTCACAGGCTCTTCAAAGAGTATTAAGTAAATAGCCTACAAAAGCTACAGGCTTGTTAAAGCAGAGCATACTGACCCATGTGTGAGAAAAGACTCTATAAACCTCAATTTCCTCAATCACATACCATTTCTGCCCAACTTCTTCCTTCCCCAGTGGAGCTAATTACATGGAATCTACACACAATTTATTGGGACACCTTTGGGACTCAGCAGAAAATCTTCCACTTAACATGCACTGTTTTGTGTGTTAATAGTAATACAGTTCAGAAAAAGGTCGACTAATCTAAGATGATAGCTTCTTTTTCTCCCCGAGGTTACAGATAAAAAGTTCTCCCTTTTTATATGGGGCCACCTCTTACCAGGCTCTGAAATTTAAGACTGGCAGTTCCAAGGAGTGTTTCAAATCTTAATGGCTGATCAACACCCAAGTTTTGCTTAGTAGTCAGTGAAATTTACTGTGAGTGTGTAAGAGTGAGCTTGGGTAGTGAAATATGAAAGTAGATTTGGAACTGCAAGAACTGAGTCACATACAAGTTTGCCTTCTCATACCAAGAAACCCTGTCCTCCTCCAGTCTCTCTCACCAAAAGCCACTTCCCTCTTCTGCTGCTGCTCTCAACCTCTTTCAGCGAGTAGGAGTCATGAGTGAATAGGAGATAGAAAGCAGCAGCAGACTGCGGCATCGAACAAGCCCACAATCAGGTTAGGTAACAAGAAGTGTGAGTTTTACTTCACTGCTAGTTTTTGGTGGAGCTCTTTAGAACAAGAGAAATGAGGGGGTTTTTTAATCTTTACATTTTACCTAATCTGCTTCCTTTTTGTACAGTCTTTCCTCACAGATTTACTTCCACTAAAGAATAGAGAAAGAACACCCAGAAATTCAAAGGAAGGGAGGGGAGAGAGGTGGGAAGAAAAGGAAAGCCACGTTATTCCAGCTGTCACCAATTCCCAATTCAGTTCAAGCAGGACAAGCACTAAGGCAGAAATTCCTCTGTAGGCATTCATCCCCTTGCAAAGCATTTCAAAGGAGAATAAGATGGCCAGTTTAGCAAAGTGTGAAGCCCTGCTCTGATTTACATGTGATATTACGTAAACAATAAACACCTACTTTCATACATGGGACTATGAGAGTCATCCAATACTGCTTTTAGCTGCCTCAAATCTGGCATCTTGTCTAAATCAGTAGTGCATATCCCCTCTCACATCAACAGAGTGGACAGCACCCTCCAGCAAGTGACTGCAGACACTGCAGTTTTTACAGGATAAATCACTCTTTGGAAGTGTAGGCAGGAATGGGATCTGTATCTTCCTCAAAGAACCTCCTCACCAGTGCATGTGTGCTGGAGACCAGCAAGATTTGGCCATTATTAACAGCAGCTTCAACACCTGGGACACCATCACAAGGCTGAGGCACACTACCATTCCAGAGAGAGCACCTGAAATCAACAGCTACTTGCTTCTCTCCTAGTTTTGTTGTTTTGTTTTTGTTTCTTTTTTTCCCTTGGGATTTTTCATGTGAACAGTTATATCATTTCATCTCCACAGTTAATATCATACCCTTGGTGGATCTTTCATATGGAAAGGGGGACCAACTCAGTTCTCTTTACAGATCATAAAAGACAATACAGCCTACTGAATGACCAACCTTGTAAAGGAGGAAAAGTTACTGAAGACTAGTAAACTCCTGGGAAGTTTTTAGATTTTAAATAAATCACCCTCCATATGTCTCAGCCTTCACACCAATGTGCTAAGTTAAATTATATTTACTTATCCTCCAGTGAGGGTTTGTAACGATTATCTTATTAATTTTTGAACACCAGTCTGAAGATGTGAAGATTAATATGCAATATACTATTGCTGCCAGGTGTAATAAACCCACAATTTGTGGTTAGAAAACACTTCTGAGTCCAAGAAAAGAGAGTTGTGTATCTTGGACTGATGATGGAAAGCTTTGCAGGGTAAAACCTAAGGTCCCAAAGAGAAGAAAAAAAGATCAACAGTCCCCACTGACAACCAAAGCAAAACAAAGCAGATTTTGTTAGATAACTGGTAGTGAAGCAGATCTATTCAGTGATGTAAAATGTGTTACTTTTCTCAGAAGGCTCAAAGAGCCTTAAAACTCCCTACTGCCAACCCTAGTTTATGCAAAGAATACAAAGGGCTGTGCAGCTCCTGATTCCCCAGGGTTATCTCTTCCCAGCTGATGGACCCGAAACTCAAGAAAACAGATCCCCAGATGAATAATGACTCGCCTCTTCTGTGAGTGGAACGGAGTCATAACTCAAAGCTGACGATCATGTGTTTATGTGGAGCCATTCTGAGGTCAAGATTTATTTCATATTATGGAAGAAGCAGTCTATTAGTCACAAGCACTTCATTCTTCGACAGCACAAAGTGATAATTCCCATAATTTACAAGCTTTGTTTTTCAATAACATTAATTAAACCCTGAAAATCCCCAAGATAAATTACAGCAAAGATTCCTTGCTGAACATGGAAAAAGACAAATTGACTTAATCTGTTCTTTATTGGTCAGATAACTCCATAACGTATTGCAATATCACATACCTGGATCTACGTTAAATCGGTCTAGGAGCCTGAAGACCAGCTTGCTTAGCATTTTGCGGTTAAATTTATCTGGTTTGTACCTGGACAGGCCTTGATATTGGCTGTAGGCAAATAAACAAAATCAGAAAGAAACATCTGTGGAATCCTCTAAAGTACGTTTCCCAAATAGTAGATATTTAACAGTAGAGGTGTCAGGGTTTGCTAGGTGTTGGCAAGAACAGTCCTCTACCTTTTCCATGTTACAGCAAAAAGCCAACAATACAACCACAGAAATTTCCCAGTCAATGACTGAAGCAAGTCCAGAGGCTTATTTTTAAAAGAAAGACAAAGCAAGAGTTTCCTTCTCATCTTTTTTTCAGAATTAAGACTGCAACTATTGCATCTACACCATGAGTTTGGCTGTACTGTTGGCTTTGTGACTGACAGGACATTTTCTAGTGAGAGGCAATTTATAAACTAAAACTCACACGACTATTTCATGAGCACATGAAGGTTAACCACTTGCATCTCTTGATTTTCTGCCACTTCATCACAGTATTATCTTCCTGCAAAACCTGTACAACCGATACTGAAACTCACCCTTGTCTGCAGCAAAGCACAAGAGTCTGATTGCTACAACCTCCTGGAGGAAGCTTTGATATTCTTATATTGCTAAGATCTACTGCACAGGTTTAATTCTGCACTCCTCTCTCCTGGCAGGAACTGAGCATCTGTCAATAGGAATGATACCTCTGTTTAATGGGCTGAGGTGTCTGGAAGATTCTGGCACAGACACCAGAATTTCCCCTTTCTCAGCTGAAAAGTAAATATATTGCACTCCATTACACTGAGAAATGATCTCAGATAGACAACCAGAGAACATACTGTTCTCTGACAGCAAGTTTGGCCCCAGCTGTTTAGAAAGTCAACAAGCGTTTCTACCTTGTGATGTCTCTGATATTAAAACCAGGTTCACACCACGTGTCCAGGATGTGCAAGAGCTTGCTCTGGAGCTCAGGATATTCTCCCACATAATCTTCCACCAAGTTTGTTTTATCTTGGAGCAGTAGTGGTGTACACATCTAGGAGAAGAAATTACATTGAAAGCACTGTGCCCTGCCTTTGATCACCATGTTCTGCAGACTGAGCGCTGCAGCAGACAGAGGCACAGAAAAGGTCCATGACACTGTGGGCTGACACCTGGCAGAGGGCTGTCCCATCCCTGCTGCTTGGACACAGCAAGCAAGTCACAAACCCCCTGCTTAATCAACCAGTGCTGTCTGAAGTGTGATGTGACATTTTCAACACAAATATTAACAAAGCTTCAAAACAGCAAAAGCACTAAACTCCATCATAGTGATAACCTTTTGTCAAGAACACAGCTGGAATTTTTTATAACAATGACTGCAGCTAAAAAAACCAGTCTGGTAAACTCTAATGGGGTCTAACAAAATACACTGTCATTTCCATAGATGTAAAGGTACATCAGCAATGCAGCAGTTACTTCTTGGGAACAAAGTAAAGCATCAAGTGAAAGGCAGTACAACTTGGAGAGCCTTGATGGATCTCCTGCTTAACAAAAGGTGGATCTGATGACAGAGAAGCCTGCAGAGGAAATGACTCACCTTCTCCACATCTTGATCTGGCTGTAATTTTAGCTTAATACTCAGTATGGCTGCCTAGAAAACACAAAAAGATGGTTATTTAGGAGAAGAACAACACAGTGGATGAATGGGAATTATTCCAAAGGGGAGTATATATGCTATTACAGAAATTTTTAATGTCTTAATTATTTCTGTTAAATTTACAAGTATAAATCATATAAACCTTTGGCCATATACATTCCACTTAGAAATGTACAAAACCGCTCCTGGCAGAGTTGCATATTCTGAGCAGCAGCATACCCTGGAGCAAAAATTGAAGATCAAGTTGTCTGGCAGAAAGAGAGAAAGTAAAGTGCTTGGACCGAGTCAACTAAGATGGACATTTTCTATCAATATAATTGTAAAAAACACCTGGCTCACCACACCCTTCTGAGTTAACGTTATCCACCTTGTTGTGCCTTTTAAATTTTGTAAAATTATTGCATTTTGTCTAAGCAGGTCAAGATTTAAAAGACTCTGAAAGCAAGAGGTCTTAGTTTTTATAATTTCTGCATAGCTCCACATCCTGAAAGTGCTAAGGTTCACCACAATGGTGATGGTAAGAACTGTGTTTTTCCCCTTTTGTGGTATCTATAAATCTTTGATAAGCCAAGACCTGCCACGTTCACAAATTAACTCCAAATTGGTATCTTCTGCAGATGAGGAAACTCTGCTGTGGTGAACTGCAGTAACTCAGACTGCAAGAAGAACTGGTTCAGCCACTGTCTATCCTGTCCCAGCCTGGCGATTACAGAAGCATATTCAGATCTAACTGTGCATTGCTTGGAAGGCATATGAGCTAATTAGGATTTTAAGCGGTTAATAGTGTCTAATTTCTGCAGTGTGTGAGAATACTTGGATCTCAAATACAGAATAAGCATATAATGCCTTTCTTTAATATAGTGTATTGTTCCCGTAAATAAAGTAATAAGAGCAAGGAGCCCTCTAGCACATTTATGTGTTAGTACTGACGTAATCATGAACTAGGTAATAAGGATGTTATACATGAAGTGGCCTTCTAATTACTTTGCAAAGTTAGGCTGTATTTTCCAAAATGGTTGTAAACAGTGTTTGGAAACACAGCCCTACTGCAGCGTGCATGTAACGCTAAGCAACAACAGGACAGAGTATGTCATCAACTGAGTTCAAAAATGCCTATTTATTCAGATTAGGATAAAATCAGTGTGTCAGGGCTTAGACGAAAAGCTCTTCTCTTCAAAAGGTTTCTCTGCTGTCTGTGATTGATTTTGCTTTCAAAGAAAGGTCATGAAAACGATGGATTTGTTTGTCAAAATAGTTGCGTTTTAGAATTGTGTTATTTTTTAGAATATGTAAACAAACCTAATCCAGTAAAAAAATGTGCATTCCCCCCCAGAAAACACAAACCTCATCATTACACTTCACCTGCATGAAACCTTTATCAAAAAATTTAACCAGAAAAATAACCTAAGTGGAAGTAGGAGCACACCTTGAAACAACATTTTCTGTGATCTCTCCTAGCATTCAAATGACACCTCAACTTAACTCATTACTGGAACCACATGTTCTGCAGACTCAGCCAAGCAACACAGACAAAACCTAACAGCTCCTCCGAGCATTGCTCACAACAGAAGCCGTGGATTACATTACCTTCTGGGAAATTCATGCATGTATTTCATCCACTGCATCAAAGACTGAGTGTACAAAAGCAGACAACCAAAACACACAACATAAGTTCAATCATTCAATCTTACTGTCCAGAAAGAACAAAGTTACCCAGTGGGAAAACATTTTTTTTTTCTGTTTGTTTTGGTTTGGGTTTGGTTTTAGGGGGCTTGGGTTTTTTTGGGTTTTTTGTTTGTTTGTTTTCTTAACACAAAATGAATACTATGTCACTGACAGTCCAGGCTTCATCTCAAGAAGAGGAATCAACACGAGATTTAAGTGACAACAGCAGGAACTAACATTAATGCAGTGTCTCTACGCTACAAACCAGATACTGGAAGGCACATTATAATTTAGCCCAGCTAAATCTTCAACCAAATCTCTCTTACACCAGGCTTGTTTTAATATGCTACTCTGCTCCACAAGCATCAAGTCCCTTTTTTCTCAAATTATCAGATTAATGTCACAAAGTGCAAACTGAGTAATTATTCTCAACTTGTATACAAGTTGAAGGTTCCGATTTCTGTTTTGGACCTGAAGAAAGGGTTTGGGTCTCCAAAACTCTGGCAGCTGGTTTTATTTTTCTCCCAGCTATCTCACTTTGCTGAATTTAAAAAAAGAAATAAAAATAAAATTTTGGTTCAGCATTTGATCTCATTAGCACTAAACAAATAATGTGTTAGTTTTAACATGCAAGCATACAATGGTTTCCATAATAGCTTTTTAGTGTTCACATGCATGTTCAGATTAACCTAATTGCAAACTGTTATCTAAATGGCACAGTTTTATCTCCATCTCTATTAACCATACAGGTGACTTAATCAGATGAATATGCGCTGTGTCAGGTTGGGTTTTCCTCTTTTACTGAATGTATATTCTACCCTGTACCAAAGGGTGGAGAGAAACAAATATTCATTTAGCCAAATCGTGGAGAGACATCACCTTCCAACCCCAGCTGTGGCAGACCCAGCTCACATCACCACCACTGCTGCAGGTCAGAGGAACTTGAAGCAAATCACACAAGCTGCCTTTTAATACCATTTTAACATCACCCAGCTAAAGCAGGCGACAGAGCAGTCAGGCAAATTGTGTTGCTGGCAGAAACTTCCCACAGCAGGAAACACCATCGGCAGCAGGGTAGCAGCCTCATCCATGGACAAAGCCAAACGTGGAAGGAGACGCATGACCTGGGTCCTCGGAACAAACAACTAGGCTGGATTGCAGGGTGTAGTTACATGGGCTGGCTGGCTGAATAGCGAGGACAACTGAGATAAAATCAGCGTGTTTACAATAGGAATAATAAGAGAAGAGATATGAGTAACTGTAATAAAGATGAAAGTGTTTGGCAGCTGTGTCTGTGGTCTCAACTTCGAGCTATTTTAAGATTTTGTTTTGTTATTATCATGTTTTGAATTGTTTCACTCCACAAACAAGTTTTGTGCAAAAGGGCCCTATTTTTAACAGCCTGTTTATAGATGATAAGATCTCCAGAAAAGCAACACCTCAATCGCAGACTCATTTTGTAGCTAGAAAACAAACACTTCAATTGGGCAGACAGCATGCTGTAACTGAAATGGTGAGAATCCCCCTCCCCACCCAAGAAACAGGCTTTTCCCCATATGCAGTGCTGCACTCTTCAAGCTGTGCTAGAAGACTAGCCAGGGTGGCTGGAAGCTAGCAATCATGTCAGCCAACTGCAGATCCTCAGACTCAGGTTGGATCCGCAGAACAAGAAAAATCCTAAGCAGCAGATCCCCCACTTCACCAGCTGATCAGTAAGAGCGAAAAACCTGGCTATGACACAGAACATGGAAAAGCTCTGGTGAACATTAAGGTATTGTCAGCTTATCAGGGTCTACTTGCCCTCCCTCAAGCTACAAAGGGAACATGTAATAGTCTTGACTAGTGGTACAAGTAGCCTTTTCATAAAAATACATTTCATACATAGAGAGTTTCTAGCATGTAATCTAATAACAACTAAGAATCAGCATCACTAGCATTACTGCTACACATAAAAGTGTCTAACCTATACTAAAACCCTTCTGCCCCAAATCATAACATGAGAAAGGTTGCTCCTCTCTTGCATCACACCCCCCTTGAGTATATAGGACAGGTATATGATGAAGCCACTGCGTAGTTCAGGAGAAAAGGTGATGACCCATTGCCTGATTCAAATCCCATCAAAGTTCGTGAGTCTTCTCATTGTCCTCAGGGTGCTTTGGGTCATTCTTTGATTTAATTATGGTGAAAGCAAAAATCATATTTGGACATTTTGCAGTAACTTTGTTTCCCAAGGATAAAAACCTAAATATATAGAAAAGGAAGTTGAATGAGGATGGGGAAGAATTCAAAGATGGGCAATACTACATTAATTTATATCTAAAATGCATGTAGGTGCATTGACCATAGGATGGGGGAAGTTATCCAAACTTGACGCATTCAGCCAAAGCCATGAGCATCAGACCACTCTCAGTCATGCGATTGCAAAAACAAGAGTATGGGAAAATGGGGAGTGTTTTGAAGTGAACACACAAGCCCAGAGCATCCTGCACCAATACCTGATTCTCTCTACTTGTTTTGAATGCAACTGTCTCTGTCTCATCTGCAAATGACTATTCTTTCCATACACAGTACGAAGTGCAGGAAGCCACACAAGATCTTATCTGCAAGGGCATGTGCACTTGGGTGGTGTCTACGCTGACAATTTAGGCAATTCTCCCACGGTGGGGTTAGCATCAGAGGAATAACCTTTTGCTAGTAGCACTGTTTGGAGTGATGATGTAGGACAGACACAAATGGTTTCTGATGACTCCTGCATTACTTAGCTTTGCTGCAAGCAAGCTGGGACAACACAAAGGTAAATATGCCTGTGCCTGACTTAGTGTAGTATTTCTGAATCAATGGTGAAGGAATTTCTGAAAACCCAGACCAAACAACAGAACGAGACTTTGCAGAGGGGGATCCAACATCAACTCCAAGAAAATCCCAGTGATCAAAGCCTGGATACATAATAATGGTAGAAATACTGGAGTAAAAGGCATACCACATATTAGTCATTGGGAACATCTGTTTTGTGTTTTGGAGTCACTCGTTTCAAACTTGTGGCTAATCAGCTTTGCTCAAACTCTCAGAGTGCATCACTGCATAATGTATGACATCAGGTTAGATGGCTAATTACTTCCTGCTTAAAAAGCATACAATATACACAGCTGTCTTCAGGAAGATCTTCAGAATCAAGAAAAAATGAGATTTCCCAGATCTACTTTCAAGAGGGCATAAACATATTTTATAGGAGTGAGACCATCAAAATGAAGCAGTGACAGGTTATTCACATCTAAAGAATTTGAGGTAGAGGGAGAGAAGTAAAAGTCAAGGTTGGAATATGTGTGTGCACAGGTGAAGGGAAGAGGGAACTGAAGTAAACACTTCTGTGATTTGTCCTCCTCAGGTCACTCAAATCGGTTTTAATCCTGGTTTAACTGGTCAATGCATCCTCACAGATGAGTGATCCTCTAGAACACTGTCCAAGCCATGCACATTCACCAGATCCTCCGGATCCAGACTCTGTGCCTGGATCTGCTGCACATTTGCACCTCTTCTCCAAGAGCCTGCTTGCTTGCTGAGAGCCCAGAAATGCTGGCAGTAAGAGCAGAATGCTATCATCTGAGTTATTGTTTCCCAGCAACACTCAAGCATAACCACTTCACCTGACAGACACCCACAGCAAAGATGGCTCCGGAAGACATGATGTTTGGGAGCAGGCAGCAGAGTGTTCCATGGCCCATGTGTTGGCTACCTCTGTTCTGGAGTGGCATGAATCTAGCAAGCAACATGCCATTAAAGCTGTCCTTTAGTAATAGATTAAGTTAACAGGAAAAAAGGGTTGAGACTGACATTGTCATCTTTACATGAGAAACATCCTTTGTAACATTTTCCTTGTTTTTCTTCTTATTATTTTTAATTTAAAAGAAACAAGAAAATTCAAATGCACACACTTCAAAATAGAGTAAGAGTTGAACAAGCCTTTGTAATTAAGATGGCGAATGGGAGAAAGAAGCAGTATCAGAGACATTTTCACTGTCCTGAGAACAGCTCAAAAAAGTCAGTGAAGAAATCCAAAATCTGCATATCCATTAATGTGCTCAATCAATCTTAATCTGTATTGACAATTTTGCAAAAATACACCACGTGTACTTAAGCACAATGTATGAAGTAGGACTACAATAACATCACTGAAATTGGTGTTCAAAACATCTCTACACTGAAAATTGAAGGTCATGTTGGCAATTGAACTATGATACATCTCTACACCTTCGTATATTTGTATTCCTTTAACTCTTTACTCAGCCATCCTTTCTACCGAATTATCAGAACAGTACATACTGTAGTATGTACAGTCGTATATATTGCTGACAACCTTTGAATTCTGTGTCTACAGAGCTTTTTCTGTGTAGTCTAACTTATGACAAATTTAACAACTGAATTTCAATAGATAATCCACATTATCTTAATTGAAAGAGCAAACATCAACTGAGTTTGACATACAGAATCAACCTTTGTTATTTGTAGAAATTAACAGATGAAACATTAGTAGAAAAAAAATATACTCTGCATTTGAAAACAGGGAAATCAGGGTGGACAACAATAAAAAAAACCCTATTAAAAATTAAATAATCCCTGTCTCACTAATAGCTTAGTCCAATATTCTTGTTTAAGAACCAAACTGTTGAAGGGAAGAAAAATGCTGCTAGTCACCAATACAGAGAAATTGGAGTGGGAGCTCTCTCAGGCCCAAGAATATTTCTGGTTGTCAGAGGCTAAAAAGATTATTTATTGTTTCCTTCCTAAACCCAGCTCCAATGCCACCTGTTCAGAATTTACTATAAAGCTGTTAAACAAGACGAGAACTTTGATGCTGACTGTGAAAACAAGTTTCACTGTATCTGACCCGAGCAGCACTCACTACTGATCCAGAAGCAAAGGAATTTGATTTTTTTCTTTAAGCACAGCTATCTTTTTACCTTTATAAGCTGTTTAAAAAAATGTAAATAAAATAACTCAGTGGACAATAGAGGGCATTCATCCCACAGAAAGACAGCCGCCACCCTTAGACATGAAATATCGCAGCACATTAAGTCATGAGACCCCGCTAATCAAAGCTGACAGGGCACTGAATGTGATTTCTGCTGAGACTTAGCGATATCATGGGGCACTGAAGCATGCACAGCCTGCCAGACTGCCCCTGTTCATGTGACAATGGCTTTTATTCCCGAAAGGGGCCTGCGAGTGACAAGAGTCCCCTTTGTCTTTAGGCTCCCGCATTCGCAGTGCAAGAGAGGTTCATTCAACCAGCCCCAGACACTCTTTGAAAGGCTGAAGTGTAACATAAGATGACCATGAAACACTAGCTTGCCTTCTGCCTACCCCTCATTCTTCTCAAGCACAGCCTGGCCTATTCAGGGCCTCTCACAGACTTGCTCACACTGCATTACCCCCGGTCTGCTGAATCCCCGCATTGTCCCGGCCCCACCAGCAGCCATCGCCCTTCCCACAAAGCCCTCCACCCCGCAGCCCCACCAAGCTCCGGCACGGCCCGGGACAGCCCAGGTCGAGGGCGGCCTGGAGCTGCGGCCCGTGGCTTCAGAGGACTTCCGAGAAGGCAACATAGCTGCCACATTTCACCTGAAACTACCTGAGCAGCAATGTTAAACTCTTCTGTCTCTTGATGTGGGCCACGAAGAGCAGACCTAGGAGCACCCTGCACAGCTCCAGAGCACCTCACAAGGCCCTGCGCGGCCGTACTCCTCCAGCAGCTGCAAAATCCATTCACAAACAAACGGATAAAAACCCCAAACGGGCCAGACGACTCAAAAACCCACTTACATGTGCCTGCTTTTTGCTTTACCTCTGATACCAGCTTATTTTTCTGTATCATGGGAGCACTAGTGCCATCCGCTGGCCAGCGCTCCCCATCAGGGGCCTCCTCACCACAGCTACTATTTTACGCTGCTAAATCAGAACAGTTACCTCCACCTCCGCCATCTTCCACCAAACCCACCACCACCTGTACACAGTTGATGATTTTCCTGCTGCCTCACAACACCTGCACCCTGCCCTGCCAGGCGGCCCCCCAGCAGTCCACTGCAAAACTCCTGGCTGCTGCAATTCACAAACTGGTTCAGGTTTTGACCAACTCTACTGAAACAAGGCATACAGAGAGGGCCAGATGCACTTCAGAAACAAATAACCGCCGTGGGCCTTCCCAGGGATATCTGGGATGTCATTTTCTGAAGAGATCTTTCTCTCAACCCTCTGTGATGGAAAGGAGCCTTAACCCACCAGGCAGAGCTGGGGACCTCCATGGTTTGCACACCAGTAGGAAATGCATCAACACAGGCAAGGGGAGTAATGTGTTCTAGAAGAAATGTCTGGCATCTTACTGTAAATACAGCAAGAAAATAAATAATGACAGCAAGGATTTATAAGGATTTCTATCCTTTCAGGTGAGAGACAGAAAAACTGAAAATCCTACATGTGAATCTGCTTTACTTCCCTGTCTGAAAGATGGGGAAGAGCAGGATGAACAGAAATGCCACAGCCCACTGCAAGTGCTCAAAGCCCTAGTTCCAAGATTTTTTGGGTTAGTTGCTGTGAATTTAGGTATGCTCCATCCCCACAGGCAGTAAAAGATTTCCTGTTATTCTTGAAGATAATTCTATTCATCCTTCTGGAAACAAAACAAAACTAAAAGAAAGTAATGACTGAGGGTAAGCAACAGTTGAGGTTTCCTGTTCTTCACACTGAGAATGACTAGTAAATGAGCTTCTCTGTGGAAGAAAGAACAGAAAAACAATTCCACCAAAAAATAATTTATGGCTTTCCAAAACCAGATCTAGAAAGAACTGTATTTCTAATGAAAACAATAAATATCTCTGCAACCATGAACTCAAAAATCACATTTGAATATAGTCAAATAATATGTTTCTGTTAGGATTTTCAAACACTCACGTTCAAGAACTTACTGAGCAAAAGAGTAAGTTTTAAGCAGGTACCTGTGAATTTCTAACCAAATCTGAAATATCCTTGTTGAGTTCTTTGAACACTGAAATGAGAATGGAATTCCAGATCTCACTTGGGAATTTGGCTTTACTGAAGAACAGGATTTTAAAAATGTTTTTTGATTTTTTTTTTCTTTTGCTAAACAAGATCAAGCTGTTCTACACCACTGAAGTGAACTACCTTACTTTAAGAAAAGCAAACCTATATTTTTGCCTTTAAAACAAAATTTAAAAAGGCATTAACAGTATCATAGTTTGCTTGCAAGGCTACCAAGACATCATGGTGATGCCAGAGATGCTGCAAGCACTCTAAACCACAGGGTAAAACATATCAAATTCTGGTTTGGTGAACTCCTGCCAGTGTCAGCCACTCAAACTAGTAACACATTTTGAATATGAGCCTCAAATAGTAAAAATGGCTTTAAAACTCCTCAAACTGAGAACCCTTTGGTTAGGATAAATCACATGGGAACAGAGATTTTCCAAGCCCTCCTCGCTGCAGGCAGATTGGAGATAGCACAGCATGTCTATGACCAACTACTAAAATCCCTTCTTTTATTGCCAAGGACAAGGAAAACAAAAAAGAACACAACCACCCCCTTAAATTGTCCAAATTAAACCCTATTAACCTATTACTTTCAAAGGTCAAAAAAGAGGTGAGGAAGGATTCACTGGCATTCTGTACTCAGCCATTAGAAAAAATGAGGTTGAACACAGCCTACTGATGTACATAGGAAGACCATGCTAAGCTGTACCATTCACAGTGTGCAGCTGCTGTGATGAAACGGAATTCACATTGAAATGCATCCAAAAAAAAGGACACAGACATTAACAGAGAACTAGAGAGCTGGGTAGGTAAATTTATTTGAAAGACATGACCCACCTCTTTGTAATCGCCCTTGTGATAAAGATGACTGACATGTCCAAGCAAATAGTTCCGGTCTGCTGTATGGAGCTGGTAAATGCTAATCAGAGGGTCAAGAAGATTAGCTGGGCACTGGGCTAGTATTCTGAGTACACGGGCCTGTAGCTTCTCCAGCTTGATGCCAGACTACAGAAAAAAAAAAAAAAAAAATCAAACACAGATTTAGTAAAGATGGCTACAATTCAATGGCAGTTGAAATTGCAGCTTGTTTAAACAGTGGAATAAGCCAATTCCTTGGGATGGGATTCTCCAGTTTCCCCATGGAGTCTGCAAGCAGAAATCAGAACAATATGATACACATTTTTTTCACAGCATCCAATTTAAAAACATTAAATGTTTGTGGGATAATTCTGGAAAAGGCATATGGCCTTGTGCAAAAGTAAAATATGAAACTGGAAAAATGCCCTCTTTTACTAGCACAGCTATTTAGAAATTCTCCCCTCTAGTTCCCAGCAGAAAATCTTTGATTTCAGCAACTCCCCTCAGGGTGATCTCACCTACCAGGCACAAGAATTAGATTTTCATTCTCGGGCTTGCTCCTGGGTGCAAGCAGGGGAGAAAAATCAAAAGCATCGTCAAAAGCTGCACAGATACAAGTATTAATCCTTGTGTTCCTACATGATCATTCTCTTATGACACAGGAATTTCAGTGCCAGTAGCACTTCACTGCACTTTGCAGATACTGTAATGGCAACAATCCAACATTGAGAAAGAGCCATTTGGAAAAATGGGAAATGAAACAACACAAATATGAAAGTATCTTGCTGTTAAGAGCCAAAAAGAGAAAATATCAGTATGTTGGAATATATGAAGGCATAAGGAATAGTAAACATTAGGATGTATAATCTGATGACCCAACATTACAAACGATTATTCAGCTGCTGAAAAGTCATACTGTTACCATTTTCTGCATTCCTGATGATAAAAGCTCCCCACCATATGGCAGGAGTTAAGCAATTGTACAGTAACTGGCTGCTATTTGCAGAACTGGAAGAATATGCAGAGTAGATTACTGCAATTGGTTTTATCCTGACAGCAGGGATGTGAGTTCCAGTGGGAAAGCCTCCAGCCCGGCAAAGGCTGCAAGATCAATGCTTGATCAAAGTGGTTTGATCTGGAAAGATGGAAATCCCAGCTTGGAAGGGGAAAAAGCTCTCGCATCACAGCTTCTAATCTTATTTCATTTTCAGGCCAGCATACAACAGATAACAACATCTCAGTACAAATTTCACATCTCACCACACCATGTTTGCATGAGACTACAGAGAAGGTGCCAGACTATGGAATAAAGTGAAACTGGGGACACTTGAGGGACATTAAAATCAATTGCCCTCTCCTTTCTCCCGGCTCTCTTGCTCTCTCTTTTTCTAACCTGTTGAACAGCAGGATGCTCTTTTATCCAAAGCTGCAGCTCAGTGGTGATGTAATACCCAAGGGAATGCCCTTTCCCCTTCCAATCACTGCTGCTCTCCAGCATGTCCAGGAGTCCTGCCAATGGGTCTTCCAGTCCTGCAAAGCCCCGCCTGATTTCTTCCTTGAGCTGCTGAGATACAAAACCACATTGTCATGTACAAAAAGATTAGTGAATCCTCCCTTCCCCCAACTGAACACAAAGCTTTATTTTTTTTAATTTAATCTATTCAGAGAGGTAACTGTTGCTATTCAGCCACCATCCGAGCCTCCAGTGACTTTTCATGTCATTACAGATTCCTTCATGGCTCACTGCACCTCAAACCCAATGGGAAAAGCAGCAATTGTCCACACTAATTATCCCATAAAGACAGAGAAGTTGTTCTGTGGGGCAGACAAAGGGGCTCGGGATTTGGGGGAGGGGAAGAAAAGAAGTGAGCTGGAGACAGGGGTGTTACTAGGAAAATGGCAATATTGAAGGTAGATAACTGGGCTCAAAAACCTACTCATCTTCTAACAGACAACTAATAAAGCATATAAACACCTTCTCATTCTTGTACCACAAGCTTTCATATTTGACCTTATATCCACTTCAGCCACAATGGCACAATGCTCCTCACTGTAACAGGAATATTTGAGAGTAACAAAATAGTTTGGATTTTACACACAAGACTAAAAAGAAAGAAATATCAGACTTCAAACTCTGTCAGTTTGCCATCCTGCAAATCTATGCTCCTTTCCTCCAAACCTACTGAGCAGGGTATTTTCTATCAGCTACCTACTGCCACTGCACCTCAGGCACTGTACACCTCTAAAGGCTGTACGAAGGGGCTCGGCACATGGGAAAACTCCACTCCATAAATCTTTGGAATCCCAGGGTGATGTGTTTAGAAATGTGAAGGAATTGGACACTCACTTTGTGAATGTTAATAGGCTACTTACTACCCATCTGGTAGAAGTGATAAATTAGCAGTACTGAGCAATATCCTTATAATGTTTACATTAGAAGTAGTTTCCAAGGAGCTCAGAGGGTTGGCAGGGTAAAGAAGCGGCATCCTTCAGTACCCACACAGGACCTTTCACCGCATGGTACATGTACTGGCGTGGAGCAAGGCAAAAGCAGAGACAGAAAACAAGAAATCACTAAGAGCAGCTGCTCTCTTTCTTTTCTGGCTAAAAAGCAAAATCCAAAAGATGCTCATTCCCGCCTGCAGCCAGCACTTGTAATTTACTGTATATGATGGTCCAAGTCATAGCTTCCAATGGAAACAACATAAAGTTCGAAGAACAACATGGAAAACAAAAGAAAATCTACAGAAAATTTGCCAATAAATTTGTTCTTTTTTATTCATCGACAATATTTACTGGAAGACAGCTATTTTCCATAGTGTCTTTCATGTCTGGAAAAACCACAAAACCTATCATTTATGACACAAACTGTTTCTTTCTCACTGGATTATCAAATGCCGTATGAAAAAGCTGATGACTAATAAAGATGTGACTTTAGATAACAGATTTCTCCCTGTAAGTATTCTTCCCTGTGGCAAGAATTTGCAATGTTAAACACAGGGCTCCAACTTCACGGCAAGATTCAGCAGAAGGAAAAGGCAAGCTCTTATCCAACCACAAATATCTAACACAACAGCCAAAGGAAAACAAAGCAACTCGCCAACTAAATTGCACTGTTTATAAATGGCCTCTCATTTTTTCTTTTTTTTCCCCCCAAAGCCCCACTTCAGCACATTTAGACTGAACAAGAGCTTTCACCACAGTGCTCAGCTCCTCCTCAGGCTGGAGTTCAAGTGCAGGCTTTGGAAGGATGGGCTCTAGCAGACACCAGGTCCTGTGAGAGCACAAGCCTGCTTTCACACACAGGGCACCTCCAAACACTGACACAACTGCCAAGAGCACTAACTAGTGATGGTAATTAACTGGTACCTAGACTGAGTCTTGACTTCGTACCAGTTAGACTTTGACAAGCAGGGGAAAAGCCTTCTTCAAAACTTCCTAGCAATCTGGACTTCAACTACGGTATGTATGGTTTGAGGGGGAAAAATAAAACAGAGGAGAAAAAGGCACGAGACACCTAAATCAGAGAGGAAAGAGTGCTGTGCTGCCTGCCTCATCTCTCTGCCAGAGAAGGATTCCTCTCAAACATGTAATTGCCATTTCCATTTTCAATTGATTCCCATGGCAGGGAATGCTCCTTGGGGGATTTCTACAGCCTGACAGATCATGGGAATAGGAAAGTTTTGCTGATGCTCATACTACGCTTTATTCAGTTTTGGTCCCTTATTTCTAGTTACACAGCTCAAGGCAGTCTACTGATGTTTCTTGGTTATTCCAGAACTGTCCAACTATGTAGGAAATTACAATTTCTTATAGCCATGTTCCAGAACTGAAGTCATGCCATGAACAGATACCCATCTTCTGCTCAAGGGCACTGATTTGAGACCAATGGGCCAATTCACACTAGTTGACAGACCGTCTTGACTTACATTCACACACAGGGAAAGGAAAAGCAGCTCCCTGCCATTTAAATGTCAATGGAGCAGACTGAGTTGTATTTAAGTCAACTTCCTCCACTTATCTGAACTGGACAGTTGGGTGGAAGCAGCAGCACCACACACCTTGAGCTGTGCACAGAGGGCAGGACAGCAGCAGCCCCTGAAAAATGCCTCTAGACTTGGTGTGGATGTGCTGCATGACTGAAGGGTGGCAATGCCACCCTTGGATGGATCAGCCCTTCTCAGTGACAGTGTGACGACCACACTTCAAACCATCGGGGACATTCATGCTGCGCTCCCCACCTTTAGAGGCAGCTGCTGCTGTGCCACCTCCCGGTCCCACCACAGCCCTCCCCTCATCTCTCTAAAAAGGTTTTTGTCGTGCTTCAGAAACGCATCCTCCAGGTTCAGGAACAGGTGTCTGCCCACGCCTGCAGCCACGCAGGGTGGGCCCAACAGGGACAGACCTGTCCCACCGGGACAAGCTGCACGCTCTGCAAAAACACGCATCTCTCTGAGATGACCATTCCAGCAACAACAAACTGAATAAATGGAGCTGCAAGTGTGACTCATGGGGATCCTCAAGCTTTTCCACCCTCAGCAGGAAAGCTGTGGTGCTGTCTGCCCAAGGACACATCGATGAGAAGCTTTGTCTTTTTCAGAGTATTTTTCTTCACAGTCCACACACATCCCAGGGTACACAGTGCAGAAATTTTGATGATTATTTTTTCCTACTCTTGTTTTGTGGGATTAACTGCCTTCAAGACCTAACAGATAATATTTTTTTTCCTCCAACTCTAGCAAAACTTGTTAGAAAGCTCAAGGCTTCGGAGTTGCTGAGCTCAAGACCATGTTGGTGACTGACCATTTGGAAAGGAACCTCTCACACTATGTTTCCAGTTGTTTAATTATTCCGGCTGGGAACCACAGACTATCAGTAATGGAAAGTCTAAGTGTGGCAGACAAGGACAATGACTAAACGCTCCAGACACCTAGGATGGAGCACGTACACCGAGGTACTCAGCCACGCCAGACACATTCCATGTGGCTATGTGGTGAGCTGCATGTTTTGGGGTCTTTTAGAAAAAAAAAATAAATCTTGGCTATGAACCTGCCTAAACAATACAGAGTTAAACATGGGAAACTCACCACTAAGCTGATGCATCTAGTGTTTTTGCTAGCTTTCAGGCTCCCAAATTTAGATGTGTACTTTACTCCCTATGAGAAATCTCCATGTAGAGCCCATAGGGTGCTGTATAAAAATATAGCACTAATTTTAGACAGGCAGTGTAAATTGCATTCACCACTCTAAAAGGCAAAACCAAACCAAATCAGAAAAAATAGTAAAAATACTTTGAATACGAAGGCTTTGATATCATTCCACTTGGCAAAGAGCACTTTTCTACTGACTTCAACCCTCATTTTTTCAGCTACTAGAAATATTCTTCCCCCTCCCCCAAAAGATCCTCCTTTTAATAGACAAAAAAAGTGTTTAAAAGAAAACAAAAGCAACTTTGATTTTTTTCCCTCTGTAACTCAGGCCTGTAAACTTCAGCTCTTTTATATGAGCCCCTGAGCTGCTTCATATCACACAGAGCTACCTTTTCTTTTCACTTCTTGCTGCAAATGCATAGACTCTTCCCCTGTGTGCTAGAACAGAAAGCAATCATAAAGAATTGCAGGTCTGACCTAAGCGTTCTGCGTCTGGACATGCTCTGCATGCAGTTATTAACTGCAGTGTGGAGGGGAGGCTCAGCCTTACCTTCTTCATCTCTTTCTTTGTCCAGAGAAGCTGAAGGGTTTTCAGCAATAGGAGTGGGTCCTGGCCTGGAGGAGGGGGAAGAGAGAGGGAGAGAGAGAAAAGAAGGGAGAAAAACAAAACAAAACAGATTTATTGGCTCTGTACAGGCAGCCTAGACACACTGGTGCATTGTTTTACCGAAGAGAAATCAGCTACTCCATGCCACTGTGTTTGAAACCACCAACCTTCTAACTGTCAGTCAGGATTAAAGTGCTAAAATCCCTCGCTCTGAAATCCTAACAAAATAACAGACATCATCCATGCATGGCTTTAACTAAACACCCACACGGGCTCAAATACTGAAAAGCTGTATTGGTGCATTTACAACTAAATCATGCTGCTGCTGTGCATCAAATACATCCCCACCAGTCTCCCCATCACTCACCCCTCTTAATATTAAAACAAAATGGTCCTAAAAGAGAAAGCATCTTGCACAGGTTGGAAAGGATTATCAACACACTCATTTTTAATGAAATGGCTCTAAAGTGTTAATCTCGTCACAACCTGTGGAAGATGCGAGTGGGTGAGTTTATGGGAAGACAAGCCTCTGCTTGGCAAGCGCAGGGCAGCCTTTGTGTGCTGGAGAGCCCAGTCTGCCCGCGCTCTGCCTGGGCTCTGACACGATTTGGGCAAGACCGTGTCTGAGGAAGAGGAAAGATGAAATGCTGTGATTAGTGACAAGGCTGAAAAGAGAGTGATCAGTTATTTCAAAAGAAGTCACTTCGAATTTTTCTGGTTTACTTTTCACCTAGTTATCTGAGAACTTGTGCATTCAGTTGTGATTTTGTATCTATTATCATTCATCATACCAGTATTATTATACCACTATTCATCATACCAGTATTTCTGAATCAAACCTTTAGGAACACTTCATTATAAAAGCAGTGACTTTTTTGATATCTGGTTCTATTTAATTCTCAATCTCGTGCAACGATGACTCGGAATATTCTGAATGAAAATCTTCTACTGCATCAACTGTTTAAATGCGAAGAATGAATTTAAACATCTGAATGAGTTCTCCAGAAACACTCCTTGTATATTTAGTGCACCTCCTCTTATGTTTTCATAAAGCCAAAAGAAAAATGTTAAACTGAAACTGCAACATCCTTTAAATCACCTTCTGTGTTCCACAGTTCCTAAATAGCTCATTTCCAAATGCTAGATTTCTTGCCTAGTATCCCATCTCACTTCATATTTCAGGTCACAAAAAGTTACTTCAACTGTGAAAATCCCTACCTAATCCAACTAAACTCTGAAGAACTGCATTTATAAAATATTTTAAGTAGCAAGCTGTTTACTGGTCGAGCCAAGAGAATGATAGTATTCCCATTATCCACTAACCTCTGGGAAACACCAGCCAAATTAAAAATGCCACATTTACAATTCATAAGATAATATTTTCTCTCATCTCTGGTTGTTCTGAAATCTTGAACTCTCCAAACACTGGCTGTTCTCAGCTACTGCTTTCCCTTTGGAAAAAGAAAAGCATCTTTTTACAACAAAACAGAAGAAAATCCACATCGCTTCTCCCCACAAAATTAGCAACCAACAGTCAAATTCAGCCCATGTGTGTGTGCATGCATATACACACACTCTCCTCTTGGCCGGACTCCCAAAGAAATTTATACACACAGGAAAAAAATTAGAATGCAACCCAGTGTGTAACCAAATACACTGTAAATCTGAACTGTAATTAATGCAGTGAACAAGCTGGAATGATACAGGAAATGAGAGCAGTTAGGAAAGCAGTGTTTCACTTCAGATACAGCCAATAATTCAACTTGTTAAAAAGCTTTCTAAACCTCAATCAACAAAACAAGCCTTTTCTTACGTGACTTTTTCCTATCTTACCTCCTTGTAACTGAAATCTGATCTCACCGTTTTTTATAGTACATAGACAGACGAAAACCATCTCTCCAGTCAATTTTAAACGACTCCGCATGTTGCCAGCATGCCACTGTGCAAGCACGGGTAAGTAGGAAACGACCTTCCCCCTCCCCAAGCCCTGGAAGTGAACGCACCCAACTTGTAGTGATTTCCCTGAAATGTCTCAGGGCACCGCCGAGCCCTGCTGTGGGGCAGCCAGGCCAGGCCAGGCAGGCGGCGGTGGAGGCCAGTGCCCAACTGCTGTGGCAGGAGAAGGTCAACCACGGGGAGGGCAACCACCTGCCTTCTGGCATGATCTGACCCAAACGTTTTGCTCTCTGTTCAGTCTGTGCAATTAATCCCAACTGAATTCTCCAGAATGGGGACTGAACAAGGTGAGAAAACACTGAGACACTAACGGCGGTATCCTGGTGTCGGAACAGTGCTGCTTCTCTCCTTACCTGGTAAAGCCGTGTAGGTATCTAAGGATGAAACTCGGCAGAGGCTAAACACAGCAAATAACCCACAAGCAGGCAGGTCCTAGAGCCCAACATAAATGAGACAACAGAGCAACATCCCTGGAGGTGTTTAAGAGTCAGGTCAACATAGCGCTGAGGGAGCCGGTGTAGTGGGGAACTGTCAGTACTAGGTTAATGGTTGGACTAGATGATCTTCAAGGCCCTTTCCAACCTAGTTGATTCTGTGCTTTTGTTCCATCAGAGTGGAAAGATGCTGTGGTTCATGTTGGATCTTAAGCTATTTTATCTAGCTACCCTTCAGCTAGGACAGAAGATGTAAATGTGAAGGTCCACATCATTCTGGCTCCTGAAAGAAATGAATAATTCACCCTTTCTTTCTCCTGCAAGACCTTTTGGGGGACTGGACAACTTGTGATTCTCCTGGCACCACTAAGGAGTGAAAAATTAGTGTCTTTGGCATGGATACTCAAGCAGTAACAGTACTGTTATGTTCCAAATGGACTACCAGATAGGTTCCTGCTCACCAAAATCTGAGAAGGAACCAGAGAAGCAGCAGGAAACTAATGCCAGGATATCCAAGGAAAAAGGACAGGACCAAACAAGGAGTTTCATAAATCTTCCAGAACAAATCTGGAGAGCAGATGATTGCTCAACACAAAAGGGAGAGAGGGAGAAATATAAGGGGAAGAAGAACAAAGCAAAGTGACTGAAAAACCCATGGTCATAACTGAACCACAAGTGCATCTGAGCTCAACTCAGGGGACAAGAACAGGAAAATTCTGGAGTGACCTCCAGACACTGCAGTAGGAGAAAGAAGCAGCATTTACTAAGATACACATATTAAACCAGTGACAGAACAGTGCCTGGAAAGGTCACAGAGACCAGAAAAACACCCTCATGTGTCACACCAAGAACATCCAGAATCTCCAGTTCTTAAAAAAAAGTTAAATTCTGCAGAGACTTCTACACACCAAGGAGATATCCAGCTGTTAGCAAGTGTCATTCAGTGAGCAAACCAAACAAAACAAGGATGAGGCCATGTAAACCAGCATAAAAACTCAGTGGGGCAAGTAGGAGAGCATCAGATGTCTCTGCTCCCAGGTGTGAGCAGCCAAGAATGGCCAGGTCTACCATGCTGGAGAGGCCGAGATGTGTCCCAGGCAGGTGATCCCGCTCAGTTCCTTGATCAAGCTCAACGAGAAAGTGCTCAGTCTGATACTGATCCTTCATAGCTCCAGAAAAGGGGGTTGCAGACCTAAAAAATCCCCAGCAAAGCTTCATCAAAATGAGGTTACAGCACTTTGGTGGAGATTTCCAAAAGACACATCTGCACCCACTCCATTAAGACACAATAACCTTGATTTCTTCATTTGACAGTTTCTCCAAATAGTACACTCCTGTTATAAAACTTTTGACATTAATCTATTTCCTTTCAAAAATTTTTTATTCTGAAAATGAATTTCCTCTGCCCTGAATCTGGTACCAAAATTGAAGGAGATGGTAAATCAAATGTTTTCCAGTTCTCAATATCTGTGGTTACATTTCAAAACCATATAAACCACAAGGCTTACATTTTTGAGTTAGAAAAGTGCCTTTGAGGAAAGCCATAAACTACTTTCTGTTCATTCTCTCCTTTTCCTTTGCGCCTACATCACTCAAAACCTGCTGTGATCATGACAAAAGCAGTGCCCGCAGGCTGGTGAGGTAAAGCAGTGGTTTTGCTATTGCGTCCTTGCAAAATTCTGCTGCATTATTCACTGGTTTTGCTGAAACACCCTGGAAAGAGAAACCCATTTTCTGACTGAGGCTCCTTGTGTGTCTTGCATGGGGAAAGTGAAACATCCAACCCCAGAGGAGGAATTTACCAATGAAAAAATCTCTCAACACTTTTTCTTTGTGTCAAAAGCCACTAAATACCCCGTGGCCCAAGACCTGGAAGAATTACAGTCAACTAGTTAAAAGATGAAAAAAAATTAAAAAGCAACCCCAAAAAAGGAGGCTAATGTGACTGAAATGCAGGCTCACATCCACCAAACAGTCAATTACAGTTGAAATTCGTGTACAGAAAAGGTCAAGAACGAAATTCTAATGATTAAGTCTTCTTCAGGCAGACAGCTTATACCTCTGCCTTGCAAATTAACAGGATTTTAATAAATGTTTAATGGAATATATAACAAATCCAACCCACCCAGTTAACAACCAGTGAGTTTTTACTATTATCTATTGTTTTGTGTGCCTTCTGCCTCAATACACCCCTGAAATCTGTCCTCTGTGAATACTCCTGTAATCTCAACAAGCTTTTGAGATATTTTTCTGAAAGAAAAATACTTCAGTGTCACCGTAACTGCAGCTGGCCCATTACACTAAAATATATAAATGTACAGGCAATGCATAAATGGGTGGTGGGTTGGGGAGCAGAGTTATTCAGCCAACTTCTGTTTCAGCAGCATGATGAGTATAGTCAACACTGTGTAATTTAAATTACATTTGAAAACCAACAAATAGTATGCTATGTGGATTAGGAAATAATCAAAGTCTCTTATCAAAACCTATTTAGTCTCATGTTTTTTCAGAAAAGTTTATCTAGTTTACACCAAGTGTGTGCTAATTCTGTAGAAGAGAAGGCTGATAGAGAACAGAAGTAAATTACTTTGATGATGCAAAAAATGAACAGATAAATT